ACCGGCTGGCCATGCTGGCCATGGGTCATGGCAGCGTAGGAACCACCCGCAGAGGCATAGCCTGAAGTGCCAGGCAGCTTGACCAGTCAAGTTTTTGCAAAACATGAGGGGAAACCTACAACACACACATGATACAAACATGTGCAGTGCTGCAGGATTTGAATATATACATGGGTGCGTACATCATGCCCTTGCAGGATCTTACCTGATTACAGGAGACTTTACAGGATTTATCCTATTGATTTGTGCAGTCCAGTCCATGAGCTGCAAATCAGCTTGTGGAAGGTGTTTTTGTTCTAGTGATTCTAGTGCTGACTTTATAAAAGCCAGTATAGAATATATAGATATAGACTAGATGCCCCCTAGAGCGGCAGGGAATGCCACCTTCATGTTCCCGTGGTTCAGTGAACCTCCGCTCTTGAAGACATGAATGGTTATGTGATGACAAGCATGGCCACGGCAAAGCATAGCACCTCCAGCCAAACAAAAGTCAAATATTGCCCTTCTCACTACTTATATACTTGTTTTTGTTGGAGAGTGCGGCTTCTCAATCAAATTGGAGGATCAGTGACGCATGACTCATCCAAATGTCTGGCAGGGTGCTAATTGCCACCAGTGGTGACAAAGGCATTGGTTCGCCAGGATTTCTGGCCTCATCTTGAACAATCAAATGTGTGACTCATAGCCAACTTGCCAACTCCATCAAATTTTGGATTCTTTTGGGTGGTTTGTTTGAACCGACATCTTGCACCTCAGTTGCAAGTGTGGAGTATAAACGAGCAATTTACGTGTCATACTATTGGGATCAAACGGGTATATATGGTCCCTTTCCTCACCATCTTGCTGTTAACGGTGTCGGCTTGCTGCCAAGCTCCTTGAATTCAGCTCTGAAGGATTTGCGCATCAATCCTCGAAATGATTGTCCCTTCATCTCCAGCACTTCCCGAAAGGAGCGGATCAAATGTCGTACTGTTTCCTCAGGGAGCCTGCAGAACACGCATTCACCGGCATCCACTATTTCAAAAAAAAATGCCTACTTGCCCCCAGTGTCCCAGACCGAATTGCGGCCATATCTGCAACATGACACCCTTGCTGTAAGACATGTTTGTCGAAATCACTGCAAGCTGTGAACTAGCTGACGGGGTTAACGGTTCATGGCAATTTTTCCGAATTAGTCAAAGAGTTGGAAAGCCGGTAATAGGTCTCAAACAATGTGACTCTGGGACTCTGGGACACCCTGCGTCTTGACTTGTGGCTTCAACAAACCATGGACCGATGGGACCTCATGGATCCTTAGCTGTTGCAGCAAACAAGCATAAATAAAAGCGATGGTCTCCAACCTAATAGCGATGGCCTCTTTGCAGCAAACAAGCGAAGTCCCAAACCTCGTCGCGCCTTGTCAGATCCCACACCTCGTGCCGTGCATTTTGCCAGATTCCGCCCGACGCCTGGGTGGCATCCACCGGTCGCTGGCAACAGAAGTAGTCACGGTAGCGGTTGGGCCACCGGAGAAGCTCCTGAGTTGTCAAATGACAGTGCACGTTTGCAAACAGGTTATCAACACTACTGGGTGCTACTTGTGGGGCTGTACCATGCTAAAAGTGGTAGGATGAAGTACTGTACGTAGTTTGGCACAAGCATTGGGGTATAAAAGCTGTGTCTGCCAGAGCCCCATGTACAATCATTTGAGATTCATGCGCGCCCTATCTTTCTGCACTACACTACGCAAGTCTCTTACCCACAGCTTCAGATCCGGTCCCAGTATCTCAGAAAACCTGAAACTTGTAGGAAGTAAATCGAAGTAGGAAAGTCTCAATACTGATGGATCCTTTAAGGTGGACTTCAACTCAACGAGATGGGAAGGGTGGGGAACGAACATTTGCCGTTTGGTTCAATCCATGTTTCTCATCGATATACGCATGCAAACAAACACAGGCCTTGCGAAACTGATGCATAATGAGGACGTTTCTTGAGTTCATATGATTCTGCCAGGTTCTTTGCACTAAAATCATGTGCTGCCCCATCCTTCCCACAAGGGCCTACACCGCTTTCTCTCCAAATCAACATCTCAGGAGTAGAATTCAGCCTCTAATCCGAATCATACAAGAACACTTCAAGCACTTTCAATCTGATGTGTTTGCATTGGCAAGGCTTCGAGGCACAATCATGCAGAATCATTAAGTTAAGTCCAGCTCATGCCTTTTACCGCATGTCACACCTTTCCACAGTCTTGCTGAACTTTGGCCGCTAAGAGTAACAAGGACCGTCATCATTAGCAAATAAAAGCCTTGAAAGTCCTAGGCAAGGCTCTCTGTAGAAATTCCGGCCTGAATGGCGGCAGGGTAAAGGGACAGGCATGCCACCAAAGGTACTATAAGCACTCTTTTCATTGGTTCTTTCACTACAGCTTGGCTTAGCACCTTCGTCTCAAAGTCGATTTAGGATTGGACTTTGACGAACAAATAAATCCCCACCCATAAGCGGGGAGTCGTTTGGTTCCACCCTGCATTTTTGCGATGATGATGCCAGGGTCCTCCTGCCGCCTCTGAGTTGAACGCAGGGCCAGTGGGAGTTACAGGACGCTTCAAAGATGGCCATGACAATTCTGCTGGGGGGGTCCTGCAAGTCATTTTATATAATATGAATTGGTGGACTCAACCCCCAGACCATCATATTTCATATATGTTCTCTATGAAATGACCCTGCCTGACCTAACCCTGAAATACCATGGAATTTATTAAAATGACTCCGCCTGACGTTGGAATCCCCTACCTGGCACGCCCTATTTGCACCTCATGTTCCTTCCCCTGAGGCCATGACAAATCTGAAACAAGAATTGCAAAGCGACATGACATCACAAGCACAGAGCACGTCAACTGTTTTCATCTTATGTTTCTCGCTTCTCTCTGGTTTGTGTCCCCAGTGTTCTCAGCCAAAAGTTCCTGCTTCAGTCCCGCCAACTAACCCCAACAGATTTTTTGAATGTTTTCACACAAACAGCAAAGATACACAAACCAAAACACACAACTTGAGATACTTTCAGCTAGATGATAAACATGTCTGGGAACCTGTGGAACAGGCTGCGCAATGCGTGTCATTGAAATTTATTTGGACAAATTACGGCAACAGAGTCTCAAGAGAACGGCCTCCAGATTGGGCACATCCTCAAAATCATCTCAAACTTTAACAAATATTCCTCAGCGTGCGGAGCCCTCGGCTACACACTATGGAAACCTCCCCGGATCTCTCCTGGCACCTCACAGCATCTCGCAAATCTCCTTCAAAGTGCGCAACCATGCCGAGCGAACTGTTGGGTCGCGCAGCAATTGCTTCCGGATTGTTTGAAGATGGCCATTGACACGGTCACCCCACAGCTCGCGGCTGCGGCACTCATACCTGCTGTTGAAGAAAGAAGGAGAGGCCTCCAAAACCATGGCCCATGTCTTGCCGGCCGCACTTGGTATCCTCAGATTTGAAAAATACAGAAAGATTGTGCGCAAACCTGCTCAAATACAAAAACATACAAATAATTACATATGACAAGAACAAAAAATGAAAAAGACATAGAACATCATAGAACGATCCAGACATTGCAAGAGACTTCAAGCGGCAAAGTCCAGAAGAACTATCGAATGCAGGATGCTTCTGGTTCTTGACTTTGTCTAGCGCCAAAAGAGACTCCATCTCTTGCTTGATGAGCTCATTTCCTCGCGCAGATCTTCGGAAGTTGGCCGGGATCGCTTCAATCAGCGGCTTGGCCGTCTTCAGCTTTCCTCTGGCTTTCAGCACCTTCTTGTTTCCAGACTCTGCCTTCTTGGTTTCCTTCTGATCTTTGCTCTTGACTGCCCGGACAGCCCGGGCAGCAGCCTTGAAGATCCTTCGGCGACGAATCCTGGTTGAAGTCAACCCGCCAGTGCGCCAACCACTGGCCTGCTGCCCCCGCGCGTCCTGCGCAGCCAGCATAGAGGGTGCCGTCAGCTCAACGAAGAAGGCATCAATGAGCTGCTCTGGAGGTCTCTTGCCTGAAAGTAGCATAGTGCAGATGCTACTTAAACAACTTAAATCTACAATTTACTATTCTGTTTAATGGCAGGTCACACTTGCAAGTCTGTCAGTCTATGAAATGACACGACCCTACCCCCAGCCATTCATATTGTGACATTGTGTTTTCATTCCTCAAATTCCCCAATGGTTTGCTGTGTAAAATGTGAGGACAGTCTTTCTATAGAACACCTGGGGGACAAGCCCTGGCATTTTATAGAACGCACGGCTCATACATCACATCTGTAAATATGTACAGATACAGAATGATACAGATGAATATACTTGAAAAGATTGACTCATAATGAAATGATATGAAATGTATCATAATGTATCTATATGATTATTCCGGGTCGCTTTGTGGCTCACAGTCCAGCACAGTCAGCAGAGCATCGAACGGGTAGATATCGCAAACGCTGCTTGCATTGCAAGTGAACTCAGCAGCACTTCCCTGCAAAGGAAACATATCATGAGCAGAAAAAACATAGAACAAACGTGAAAAACTACGTCATGCTATGTCTATTTCATTTACATTTCCTTAAAATCATATTAAAACAGTCGACTGAACACATCTGAACGCCCTGAGTCCAATGAGTGTTTGTCAGGAAACGACCGAGTGAAAAACATTTGAAGTCACCCCTCCTCAACCTGAGTCAACTGGACAGCGCGAAAACAATGACACCCTTCCAGTGGACAAGCGCTAGCGCAAAGCGTCTTCTTCTTGCCACCCTTCCAGACAGAGAGCACCAATCCAAGGAACATACTCTCATCGCTGCGAACAATGATGGCAATGTTGCCAGACCTCATCAGTCCAATTTAGTTTTTTCAATATATTTCAATTGTTTTCAGCGGCAACATTGTGAAACAACATTTGCTGTATATACAAAACATTACAAAACCATACAAAAGGCATCAACAACCTTAAACCAATTTTCTGAGCCACGCTAGCTGTTGAGGTTGCTGAAGATCCAACGATACCTTCTGCCTCTGGAGTTCCCCTTGCTCTATCCACCTGGCAAACCTCGAGCTCCTTGCTCCTTGTCTTTGAGTGGGGTTTTGTCTCAGCGCAGCCTGGGCTATCTCATGCAAATTGTGCTGGCGCCAGTTCAAAGCTCTGCGGCGCCTCCTCCTCGTGATCCACTTGCCATCGCATCCTTCAGGACCTGAACGAAGATAAATGCAGAAGCGCAGCAACGCGTTCCAGCGGTCACCTCCGCAATGCTAGAGCACGCCAATGGGATCCAATGGGTGACAAAGACTTGGCCCCCCCCCCCCCCCACCCCGCCAAAAAAAACATAGAATGCAATTCAGAGCAAGACACATCGCTTCTGCCAACGTATGTGGGCAGCCTTGGCGCAAGTCATCCTTCGCGCCAGCTGCTTCATCTGCTGGTTCATCCATCACCTTGCGCACTTCAGCCTGCTCGTCTGCATCCAGGCGTGCCAAGTCAATCTTGTGGCTGTCCGATTCAACACTGACGTGAACAGTATCAGTATCCTCTTCTGGCTGTGCGAGCTGTGCAATTCCTTTCATAAGAGCTGGAAGGCCAGATGCTGCCGATGGCAATGTCCTTACATGGACATCACATGGGCTGCACTAAGAATCATTAGGACGTAGTCTGTTACTATGTTACACTAGGTACCCCAAATTGAAAGAATACAAAAGAACACCAAAAATATTCAAAAATCATTGCAGGTTTCCGTGACGTGTCTATGTTGCGCTCTTCCTGCTCTTCATCATCGCCCTCGCCGTCATCAAACTCTGGGCAAGCCTGTAGCGTGGTCTCAAACCACTCCACACTGCAGCTCTGTTCATAGTACTGTTTCAAGCTCTTGACGTCAAAGCCACTTGTCCACGCAGCCAGGTCTAGCGCTGACTGATAAGCGCGAGCAGATGCCTTCTGGAACCTAAGCCAAGAAATGCATAGAACGTCCTATAGACATTTAAAAAATTACATAAACAACATTTTTGAACATATTCGAACACAAAAAATCAAAATCTACAAACAATAAACACATATAAAAATATAAAAGGATGTAAAAGGCAACCTTGAAAACAAGTTCAAGTTGTACGTTTAGTTTTGGTTTGCCTTCTGAATGCTGCTTCGGCGCATCTTCTCAGTGATCGTTCCCTCCCTGGCTTTTGTTGAGTTCAGGCAGGCTGCATACTTGGCGGCATCTTTCAACGATTGCATTGCACTGGTTCTGCAAAAGGATTCAACGCTCAGCTCAGCATTTGTGCGGCTCATGCGAGGACACCCGAACCGCTGTTCGACGCTAATTTCTGATGCCCGTCCCCATCCGTTTTTCCACGGAACAAAGTCTTCCTCAGGAATAAAATCAAATAAGAAACAAACACCAAAGCCCCAAGTAGCTCAAGTAAGCCACTATAAAATGACACTGCTTAACCCCTTGCCCATCATAAATTGGTGGCCATGTTTATGGTACTGGGGGTGGATTGGTTGGGCCATTTCATAGACATCATAAGAGCATATATATAAGAACACACAAGAACATACAAGAACTAAGAACAATTTCACCACAAAACTTTTTGACAACAACCTGGCTACCTCTCGGTGGACCAGCGTGACAATGGTTGCCAAGCTCACATTTTGGAGGTTCATGAGCGTGACCGGTGCCATTCCGAATGCGCCCACGCGATTGCTCCGGTCTGACTCCAGCTTTGCCGAAAGCAATTGAAAGAGATCCCAGCACACGAAGCCTGCTACTGAGCACTCCAGGCGTTCCATCAAGGTCATAGACCTGTGCATAGTGGGAGCGAAGCACAGAGCGGTGCAGGTACTCCATAAGAGTGATCCTTTGCTGGACCAACACACTTTCATTTGAGCAAGGTCTCCATCTGGAGTGGGTGTGTAGTACCATGGCGAGCAAACAAGGGCATGAAGCGAATCGCTTTGGCTATCTTTGCGTGTGTATGCCGCTCCTGGCAGTCCCATCATATGGGCGCCTGCCATATCCACCCAGAAGCGTCCCATGTGAACCGTTCTGCAGGCAGAGGCTATTTGCCCCCCCGTATTCTTCGTGGCGTGGCCTGAGGATGACAGAAACGTGACAAACAACGCCCTTTCATGCCCTTTGCCACCAAAACCCAGAAATACAGCACCCAGCACATACAACAAACTGAAGGAAAAACTTTAAAAATTGAAAAGCTTGGAACATCTTTGACACGGCACACGGCCCGCAAAGCGCGAAGAAGGGTTCACCTTCAAAAAACGGCACGTTCACGGGTAGTCTCGGTAGATCGTGAGCCGGAAGGGGCTTGTAAG